AGCAGAGGTTGTTTTGGGACAATGATATCGAGCAGCAGGGGGGAAGCCTGAGTTTGTCTGGGAACAGCATGAACCCCTTCGACTCGAGTGCCCCAGGTTCTACCAATCAGAACCATAATCAAACGTTGCAGGACGCTCGAATTCCGCAACTACCAGGGATCGATGCCACCCTTGACCTACCCGAAGTTCACGGTCCCACGTATAGTCTCTCTGCTGCTCCTTCCGATGCAGCCCTGTTCCCTGCTCCTTTCTCGACTTCCCCCCGTCTTCCTATAGCCAAGGCAGAAGATCCGGCTTTGTTTCTCTCTTCGCCAGCCCGCCGTTTTGGTGACCCACAGCTCAGCCCAGATAAGAGACTCTTTTCTAAGCCGCCCAGACAACCATATCACCACCAGACTGAGGAATTCAAGCGAGAAGAGATTCGCCGTGCGCAGAGCATTAATCATGCTCTCTCAGGCTTCGACGAGGAGGATGACGACGATGATGATTTTACTCCTCGTCGATCCCGGCCGGGGCTCGCTCGCAGTGTGACTCATGCTGCTATAAATGCTCCCCCTCAGCGTTCCGTATCGGGACAGTCTGCGTCCGGAATGATGACTTCCAGCAGTGGCATTCGCAAAAGCCCGTCCAAGGGACGGTCCTCCCCCATCAAACCCCTCCGACAACAACTCACCAGAGCGAATACGGTTGCGTCTGCGTTTCCTACTCGCTCTCAGTCCGTGATTCTAAGAATAGGCAAGGACGGTAGAGCAAAGACTGAAATGCAGACTGTTGCTGAGGCATCCACTGGCCTGACGGACCCTGTGGGTGGAATGGAGATCGACCGATTCGCAACTGAGAATGAATTCGACTCTACCGATCTTTCTGAGTATCCAATTGTCCCTACTCGCAACTCGTCCTTCGCGTTTTCGGACGTCGGCGAACCTGCAGTGGCCCACAGTGACTCCGGCTCCCGGCCCCATTCGAAGGGCTCTTATACCTCCACTGCTGCGTCATCCCAGTCTGGAAGGGCGTCGCCCTGGGCTAGTTCATCTCGGGGCCCTGCAAGACGACCCGTATACCGAGCAGCTGCGGATGAGTGGAATAGGACGACTCCCAAGCGGCAGTCGATGTTGATAAACTCGGATCTCACATTCCCTAGCGTCGGGACCCCCTCAGGACTCCTCCCTGAGAACGAAGATGATTCTGGCGATGCCCAGCACGCACTTCGAAAAGTTCTTGAAGGGAGAGGACGACTTCCACGGTCCCAGACAATCGGCTATGGGTCACGGTCCAATAGGTCCTCACTCTCTTTTGCGCATCTACGCTCGTCTCCCCCACGCTTCGGCGCGGATCTTGACCTGAATTCTCGGCCACCTAACACTTCCCCAACGACCATGACAGACCCTGACCTCGCGACTCCGACCACTGAACGCTACAGCAACCCAAGCAATGGCACTAGATGTGTTTGCCAGTCCATGGACAATGGTGGCCATCTCATGATCCAATGGTAAGCGAACATCAGCTTCGTTCTTTTGTCATCGTTGCTAAACTCTCACAGCGAATCGTGCAACCATTGGCTCCATACCAAGTGTGTCGGACTTGAGCGGTCGAATCTGCCGTCTGTGTATGTGTGCGTATTTTGCGCGCAAACACCGACTAGGAGGAACCGGGTTCGAGGTCCAGTCAGTGCCACCGAACATGCGCCAACTTCACCTCTGGCTCATAAATCCTTCCGATTCCGGTAATTCCTCCGGTTCTCACTTTTCAACTGGTCGGACGTTTATGTCCCTTTACTATCATGTAATCATCATGAATACGAAGTCAGTGGTCATGACTAGCGTCAACAAGTGTCTTCCTCTAGGCTCCTCCAGACTCACTGTTTTGACCTTTCGGACCATTTTTAACGTCTCTTTTGTCTGTCGCTTTATCAAACCATTAGACATACCCCGTGCCCGCTGGAGGACATCAGTTTCCACCAACCCTGCATACCAGTCTGCACTGACATGATGCCAATGTATCACAGTCGTGATTGCTGTCATAACTTATTTCCTATTTGCTTCAATATGTGTTGGGGTTTATCTGCCCCACTGAGTGATACCTATGTACTACTGTATCTAGCATTTCTGTTCAATCATGTTCATGACCCCGATGTACGGAGTAGTAATTAGTTGTATTTGTTTGTCCTACATTTGTCCGGAAGGCGGTGACACAATTAAGGAACCATATCAATTGGGACAGCCTGATTGGCCGAATCCCCCGCTTATCGGCTCACCGCCCTTGATAGCGTTTGTGGTTCCCCGATCAATTATTTTCGCTTTCCGTCGGTGACTCCTCCCCAGCGCCTTCTGCTCAACATCTGCCCTGTTTCATTCTTTTTCTCTTTTGTAGTCTGTCGTTCTTAGTATTGACTGTCTTTCTTTGATTTGCAGTTATGTCTGCGTCACTTACCGGCAACCGGGACCTTCCCGCGTCGCAGTATGATCTGAACACTTACTGGGGTCGTGTGCGCCATGCGGCAGATATCTCCGATCCAAGGTGAGCATTCCAACAGTCTGTCTCAATTTTGCTGTATTTCAACTGACACATATCCTAGGATGTTGTTCGTATCCTCGTCTGGTCTAGAACAAGCGAAGCGCCTTATCTCGTCTTATAAGCAAAATCATATCCCTGTTATGACTCTCGAGTTGTGGCGGGCGAAGAAGGTGGTGGACTCTACATTGCATCCAGGTGTGTTTGCAGTATTTGGTCGCTTAATATAAGTTAGGGGTTGTCTAACTTTGGCTTGTCAAGACACTGGCGAACCGGTTTTTCTTCCCTTCCGCATGTCGGCTTACGTTCTTTCGAATCTGGTGGTGACGGCGGGCATGCTTACACCAGGGTTGCAGGTATGAACAATCGGACGTTCGAATCTTGAGGAGGCATCACACTGACTGTATAGACTACCGGAACGCTCCTGTGGCAGATCGCCAACCAGTCGCTCAATGTGGCCATTAACAATGCGAATGCGAACAAGTCGACTCCCCTGTCGGTCTCTCAGATGGCCAAGTCATACTTGATGGCGGTATCGGCGTCATGCTCGGTGGCCCTGGGTCTCAATGCGCTGGTCCCTCGGCTGAAGAACATTTCTCCCAACACAAAACTCATTCTCGGCCGTCTGGTGCCCTTTGCTGCGGTTTCCAGCGCCAGTGCGCTCAATGTGTTCCTGATGCGTGGCGAGGAGATCCGCCAGGGCATTGATGTCTACCCCGTCCTCTCGGAGGAGGAGAAGAAGAAGCGCGAGGAGACCGGTGAGCCGGTCCAGAGTCTGGGCAAGAGCAAGACGGCCGCCACCATTGCGGTCGGTGAGACGGCCATCAGTCGGGTACTGAACGCGACGCCTATCATGGTGGTACCGCCTCTGATTCTCGTGAGGCTGGAGAAGACGGCCTGGCTCAAGGCTCGTCCGCGCATGGTTACACCGATCAATCTGGGCCTGATCCTGGCCACATCGCTGTTTGCTCTTCCGCTGGCCCTGGGAGCGTTCCCTCAGCGGCAGGCAATCAGCGCCCAGTCTCTGGAAGAGGAGTTCTGGGGCCGAGGAGGCAAGGACGGGCAGGTTGAATTCAACCGGGGTATGTAGATTGGTGGATTGGACTTATCGTACTTTGACGCTCTCAGCATTGCGTTGGTTCTTCATTTCCTTTTGGCAGGGGCGGGAATCTGAATAGAAGCTCTCGTCCAGTGGCATGCACATGGATTGTTGATATCATGTTGTTTAGCGTACAGACCATCTACATATATACACATATATACCACTGCTTTCGACGACTGTGACCTTTGCACTCTGTAGAATATGCGAACCCATCCGTCCACTGTCTCACCTTCAGGCTGACCACAAATTAACTAACCGATGACTCACTCCACCACCCACAAGAAGATATATAAGATGCCCCCTAACTCACACTATCCAAACCACTACCTCAAAAAATATACCTCAAATCCAACCCACAAAAATGGAACACTCATTCCCCCCCACCTTCCGCACCGCCCGCCTACAATTCGACGCATTGGTCGACGCCGACGCGGCAGGCATCCACGCCATCCGCGGGTTGGAAGAGGTCATGAAATGGAGGTATTCATATCATATCAACCTGTCGTTATCATCTAATTTGTGAATAGCCCATGCTGAGGAGTATATAGTCTGAAAAAAGTCCCTGATGCGGATCTCGCGACGACGAGGAAATGGGTGGAGGAGTATCTGAGGCCGGAGCCGCGGGTGCCTGGGAATGTGGGGTATGTGATTCGGGAGATTGAGCCTGTGTCTGGGTCGTCCGGGGCGGTTGGAGGGGTAGATGGAGATGGGAAAGGTGAGTTTCAGCTACTCGTCTTGTTTGGGTGCATGTGTATGTATATGTGTGGGCGGAGCTAAGGCAGGCATGCAACAGGCCGGATTATCGCTTCTATTGGCCTGCGGTATGGGCTTGTGAAGGAACTGGGAGGAAAGCGCTGGGAGCTGGGGTATATCTTTCACCCTGACTTCTGGGGGAAGGGGTATGCGACTGAGGCTGTGAGGGGGTTGATGGGTGCGTGGCCTGGGATCTATCACAGGATTACTTGGGGGGAGGAGCAGCAGGAGAGGAGCGGCAAGGTGGTTGCTATCACGGACAAGGGGAATGAGCCGAGTATGCGCGTTTTGAGGAAGTGTGGGTTTGAGGCTGTGGAGGAGTTTCTGGATGAGGCTGGGACGCCGTGTGTGGCTTTTGTTTATAAGTCTTAGCTTTGGGTCGCTTTGTGTTGATACCAGGTTGTATGTGTATATACATTGGATGAAATGGCTAGATGGGAAGATCTGGCGGCCGTCTGCCCTGGATGACTCTCTCAAACTGCTCTGCAATGTCCAACAGGTCGACGTCTTGCCATGGTTTGCCCATGAGCTCCAAACCGATTGGTACACCTTGAGGAGCGGACTCAGTCTGAGGACTGAACCCAGCTGGAAATGGTTAGCGGGGCTCTTCTCCACAACATATGTTTCACCTAATTCACATACCAGGTAGACATATCGCTGGCCTTCCTGTCAACGCAGCCAGAATACCATTCCTCCGTGGCTGGACCATTGACCCGATTGAAGCAACCAGCTGTCTTTGGTGCGGGTAGACGAGAGCGTCCAGTTGATGTTCCTCGAAACAATCCTCTACAGACTTCTTCAATGCTGCAATTGTCGCCAGGCGAGATTCATACTCTGGACTTTGCATTGAATATGGACCGTCCTTCTGCAATGTACGATAGAGAGCCGGTGTCACGGCTTCCTGGAGGTACTCGCCGCTGGCGACGATCGATTCTAGGGAATCATGCGGCGTGAACGCGATCAATGACGATTGTAGGAAGGTGTCGACGACACTGCGGAACTCGTATGCTTGCATGTCCGCCGTGGAAACGAGCGCGGGAATGTCCCAGTGGGCGCACTGGGGAGAGAGCGCGACGAGCTCAACTTGCACGTTGGCTCTAGCTTTATCCAGCGCGTCCAGCACTGTCTGGTTGACGATTGAGCCTTCAGGATCACCGTCATCCGCGAAGAACGATTTCAAAACACCAATCCTTTTGCGTCTACCACATGTCTCAGAGCTACGCTCCATTGCGTCACGTTGACAATCGATAGTAGCCTCGTCGCCCTTGTCTTCGCCCTTCATCACATCGAACAATATCCGGACATCTTGGACCGTCCGTGCCATCGGCCCAGCCACATCCTGCGTGTCAGTGACAGGGATGATTCCTCTCCGCGAAATCTGCCCCCTAGTCGGTCTAAACCCGATGATCGAGCACGCCGACGCAGGCGAGCGTAGCGAATTCATCGTATCCCCACCACATCCTACGACAGCTAGATTCGCCGCTAGAGCAGCAGCCGTACCACCTGATGAGCCACCGGGTGTCCGACTGAGGTCGTACGGGTTCCGCGTCTGACCTCCCAGCGAAGAAACAGTGACGCCCTCCAGCGATAGTTCGTGGAGATTGGCCTTGCCAAGGATAATGGCGCCAGCGCGACGCAGCTTCGTGACGACGAAGGCGTCGGCTTTTGTTTGTAGGGAGTGGAGGGCTTTTACTCCAGATGTTGTAGGCATGTCGAGGGTGCTGTAGGTGTCTTTAAGGATAACGGGGACCCCATGTAGGGGCGGAAATGTATGGTCTTTCCCATGTTGCTGTAGGAGTGCCTCTGTTTCCTGGTCTCTTTGTCGGGCGACGTCGAGTGCATTCTCGTTGACGGTTATTAGAGCTTTGAGCAGGCTATTATAGCGTGATATCCGATCGAGGTATGCTACCACGACCTCGGTGCAGGTCGTCCTCCTCTCGCGTAGAGCATCATGGTACTCTGATATCGTAAGCTCTTGGATGTCAATGGAGCCTATGCTGCCCATATCTCCCTTCTTTTAGCAGGACGAAATCAGTCCATTTGCATGTTAAGTGCACCCGAGGATATATCTATTCGCCATGAATGAGGGGTAGTGTATATCTGAGGACCGGCACTATTGATCAGTGAGTTGGGGTCAGCAATTTGCATCGTCTATCGGATTACGGTGGACTGAGTTCAACTAGATAGCGCCATGCTACCTCTCTATTAGTCCGTCGGTCGTGCTTCACATCGATGTCTTCCATGACCCGGTATCCCCATCCTTCCTTGTATGTCTTCGTCTCGGCCGAAAACGAACCGCAGCATCCTATCTTTTGAGAACATGGATATCAGAAATCTCGCTCAAAGTGAAACTGATAGTCTGTATTCAGCTGCGTGAACCCCACTTACTCCAACTCCTTTGGAGGCTTGGAGCATGGATCAACTAGTGTGAATGTTGATTGCTAGTTGTGGAGACGGACCCTCGGAATGGTGTGGCGTCCCCGGGCTGATAACAATGGCTGATGGAGAGAGGGGCAACGCGCTATCCTGGATGAAGGCTGCGCATGCCGTCCTGTAACCAAGACGAAGATAAGCCATGGTTGATGGCGTTGGCTGTGTTGACAGCTGCATCAAACAAAGGTAGATTTTATCCATTGATATTATCAATGCAGCTGCGCCAAGGTTGCTGCACTATAGAACGGTGAGCACTAGATATATGAAAACCAATATACACGAAAATGATATATCAATGACAGATCCATGTAGACGACTACTGTATTCAGTCGCCTATAAATGACTGGACCACAAATAATGCTCTGTTTGTCAAATCTCATCTGAGCCAAACACTCGCTCCTATTGAAAGCTTGCCAATATAGAGTTGGGTACGCCGCTTAAATAGAACACCGAGTCAAATGGTAAATCAAGTCGAAGAAGAGAGACTGAGGCCTAGCCCCATGCAAAATGTAAAGTAAGCCTGTATCATATCACCGGCGCCCAGAGGTAATGAAAAATAGTAGACAAAATGCGCGTAGGGTGATGGATAAACCATCCCGCTGCTCAGAAGGGAAAGGATAAAATGGATGATTGAAGAAGGGGGAAAAATAAGATAAAATAAAAAGCCGTCCACGCAAGCCCATAAATCCAGGATATAACCCTTAAAAATGAATCAAAGAAGATAGAAAAAAAAACATATGTGTCCTCCGTAATCGCTGACTCCCAGGGTATGCTTTGGAGTTCGAGTTCCCTTGCTCTTTCTTTTCTGCTGATTTCAAGTTCGAAACAATCATGAATCACAGATGGGCCTTTGTCCACGTAACTGAAGTCCGCCAGATTGCATCCCATAGTCCTCGCGTTTAAGCACCAAACTCCGTAGTCACATAAGATATTGTGCGTAGAATATGCCCCGTGGGCAGCGGTAACGTAGCCAACGTTGACTTCGCAACATCTGCTCAAGCTCGGCCAAGTCAATCAACACTATCCAAGAAAAGATAGAGTCCTTCAACCCCGCGTATCCTTAGACGGTTATGGCTGCAACTATTAAAATCCGGACCTGCCCGAAATGAGAGTACTAGCGACGTTGCCACTCTTCGAGATTAAGTATCGAGACGGCTAGCTGCGTTGACCGCCGTTGCGTTGCAACTGTTGACCGATGCGAAGAGCCTCGGTGCCATCATCAATTAAAGACTCCTTGAACCACGGGTGCTTCAGAGCCTCTTTGGCAGTGATACGGTTCTTGGGATCGTAGACAAATATCCGCTGGAGAAGGTCAAGGAACAAGCGATGGAATGTAGTGCTGGTTGGGATGAAGTCCTGTGCGGTTCGTTAGCGGCTGTTCTGGAAAGGGATCCTCGCAGATAAACCTACAGTAAGCTGCTTCATAGCCCTCACATACTTGCGCGAGGCTCGTGTCGTTTCCTCATTAGGATAATCCAGCTTGTTTCGGTTGAAGTATCTGGGCTGAAGTCAGCATCAATGTCCTCACGGAAGCGTAATGGTTCGGAACGTACTTGGCCGCCTGGTTCTGACTTCCGTTTCGACCTCCCTGGGTCGTCTGCTTGACCAGCTTCGTATCGATTTTAGAGCCAATAACTGCCTCCATCATGGCAAGATGTTCTAGGTTGTCGTGCGTCTGGAAAAGGGCATCCCCGGTGAAGAACTCAACCAGAATGCAGCCGATACTCCAGATATCGCACGGGAAACTCCAGCCCAGATTCAAGATAATTTCGGGAGCACGATAATGTCTCGTGGATACCACCGATGAGTGATACTCATCATCGAAAGTGGCCGACCCGAAATCGATGAGACGGATTTCGCTGTCCAACAACACACGTCGCTGACGGGCATTCCGTGAAACGGCGTGTGAAGAGGATGGAATCGTTCGGTTGTAGGTGAATGTCTGGTATGCGTTGCTGACGAGGAGGATGTTCTCGGGTTTCAGATCGGTATGGATGAGGTTAAGGTCATGAAGGACTGGAATTATCAGTATGAAACTAGCCAGAGACCAGAGAAAACCGCAGGGTGACTCACAGGCTACGCTCGTGAATAGCTGCCGAGCGAAGTTCTGAATCTGGCTACTGGGAAAGGGCACAAAGCCGTTGCCTTTGAGGAAATCAAAGACACTCTGGCCCAAAAGATCCGTGACAATGCAGATATGGTTTCGGAAATCGAAGCAATCACGTAGGTGAATGCACTTGTTTCGGTTCGATTTGTCATTCGAGGCCAACGTTGACAGAACCCGAAGTTCAATTCTGGACGCGTCACGGTATTTTTGTATCGACCGAATGATCTTGACTGCGCAGCGAGTCTTGCGCTGCCTGTCATACGCTTCAACCACTTTACCGAATGTACCTTGTCCTAGAAGCTTGATGATTGAGTCTGAAAAATTAGCATCTGTTACCATGCGAGGCAAATCAACTGGTTTACGAGAACTCACATCGATCTGTCAATGGCGTATCTGGCGTCACAATGTAGTGACCGTCGTCATCGTCATACTTCTCATGGCGATTTCCATACTGCAGAGAGTGTTAGAGTGTGCATCCAGATACAGAACCGTCAATACTCACATCTCGAACAACAGGCACTGGGACTTCCTTCGCCTTGATCGGTGGCTTGGGAGGGGGGATGTAGCTGAGGAATGCATCACCGGCAGTTTCCAATTCCCGCCGTTTCTGTTCATCGCGGGCTGACTTGCGTGTTGTCACACGTTTCCGCTTCTGGCCAACATTGGCGTCTTCATAATATACACCGTTGGTAGCACCCGCACTGCCCTGCGAACCCAGGGATGTGGGAGCGGTGGTGTGTAGGGAAGTTGTGCGGTCTGTAGAAATGGAGGCTGCGGAGGACTCTTCACCGTATTGCTGAGGAATGGTGGAAAATGATGGACGATCGTAGTATCCCAGGTCATAGGCTGATTCAATTCCAGTGCGCCTTTTCTTGCCGGCAGGTTGGGCCATGCCGCCGTTCGAGGCTGCTGCCGCAGTGGTACGGGACTTGCCTTTGCCCTGTTCTGGAGGAGGCGTATCATCGATCACAATGACCTCTTTGGGAATGCCATTTTTATAGAACTCGCCCCAGTCGGGCTTCTTCCTCCTTCTGCTTTGATCTGACCCGGCTGTGCCCGTGCTGACTTCGCTCTGAGCCGGTGGAATGGCTGCTGGGGTGGAGGCAGGCTGTACCATTTTCGAAGATTGGTTATAAGGAAGGGGTGCGGTCGAAGGAGGGGCGGCGTACGGGTAGGGTGCAGTGGCTAGGCGAGCAGTCCCCGTAGCGGTTGTGACGGGAAAGGAGGCGTTTGGCTGGTAGGCGTGGTGATGAGGAAATGCGTAGTGTTGCTGGTGGTGCGTGGGATGCGTTGCAGTGGCCGTTGAGGGTGTAGACATGATGATCTGAGGCACTCCTGCTGGTTGTAGGAGTGTCGGATGGTGTAGGAAAGAAAAAGGATCGAGAAAGGAGTGTCAACGTATCCGATCGGTTGATGGCGAGCGGTTCAATCAACTCGATGGACTAGGCCGGAGACCCAGCGAATTATTTTGAAATTGAATCCCTCAAACCGAACACAAATCCCAGATTATTTGATCGACAGCAAGGCAGGCAGATTAGCGAGAAAGAATATGTGGAAAGCGAACAAGAGGAGGACGCGCTTCTCAACGAGCAGAGAAGTGTCGATGCGTGGAGATGACGACTGGACGAGGCGGTCGGTCGGGGAAAATGTTCGGTGGTATTCAGAACGTCTCAGTTGCTTTTCAGCAGTGAGAAACAGAAAATTAAAACAGCATTGGTTTGAGGCGGAGAACATCTATCCAGGAATAAAGACAAGACGGTGATGGTGATGATGTTGAAACGTGTGTTTGAGACGAGAAATTGGGAGGGGATGGAGGGTAGACTTCTCTACAGGCGGACAGAGCGAGCGCGCGGCCGGAATGGAGATACTGTCGAGATTGGTTTTAGTTCTATTCGTCCTAACTACGGCTCCAGAGGACGACTCCAGACTGCTAACAGCAAAATCTACAGTAGAATAACGAACTGAGGAATGGCAATGGCGCCTCGCCGCTCGTGTATTATTGTAAAGGCGAGGGTTCGCTCGGCTATGGTCTACACACAAGCAGCGCTGGGGAGATTTTGCCCAAGAACTTCAGTATCGTGCTGTATGCCTTTTTTCCTCGAAAAGCAATGAGGGATTCGAGAAAAACTATCTATCCTTGCTTCGCTGGTTGTGCCTTTTCAGACTGTCTCCAAAGTCCTGTTGCATCCTTCGCGTAAGCAGATGGCGCAGATCGCAAGGCTCATCGAATTCAGCCATCTACATAGTAAATCCGCTGGGGGCAACACCGGCAGAGCCCATAGCGTCAGATGAATAATGTGAATGGGATGCTGATTGACCGCCTAGGACCACAGATGTCTGTCTCTTGTCTGATTTTGAGCCACCCAAAGTGGGGTTTTCTGATAAACATCCGAGAACATGTCTCAGTTGAGATAGGCTCATTTTCTTCTGTTACCCCAGCATTCACCACCACCCTGGAACATTCTCATTGAGACGGTCATTGGAATAGCTGTGGCGATGGCATAGCAACTGCACCAATGGTTGATCCTGCCCGCCGTAGGAACTGATCAATGTATCTCATGAGTTTCTCTCATACACTAACTCGTTTTGGATATGGTGCCGTCCCTCCGTTGTGAACCCTCTTGGCCCCTCCACTTTTCGGCCTACCTCTGTGGTTACTCCTCCGTACACTGACATCATATAATCCATCAGAGTGACTCCTGAATGCATTCCTCGACAAGCTAAGGATATATGCAAAATATGCCAGAAATCATGAATTCATGCTTTTGTGGTCTATACTACTTGTATGTCCCATTTAACTATCTCTTATGTTTTCAGAGATTGCAGAGCGAAGGTTGCAAATCGGGGTTTCGAATCTCTAACTCCGAGGCTTGAGAGATTCAAATATCGACTGTGGATCTAGTGACTTTCACTCAAGCTATGTACTAGTAGTAGTAGATATTACCGCATCCACTTTGTCTGGATCGATCTTGCAATATGCACTGATTTAAACACGAAGAGACTCGAGATCTTGAAAATGATCAGAGTGCTTACTTTTCTTGATGATTGTATCCTTCCAGATATTGATTAGCCTCGTCAAGGCGCTAGATAAGGCGGCGAGTAATGGTCGTGTTAGGCTTCATGCTGGCAAGCTAGGACAGAGAGGATCAATTGAGATTCGTATGCCGTCGCGGAAATTTCATAACAATTTGCTTTATTCTACATGCGAGGGTATAAGCCAGGTAGTTCGATGATAACGATTCTGCATTCCAAGGTGATCGAATCATTTTATGTGATCTGAATAAGAACAGAGTAGAATGCAGTGCCCCTGTTTCGCCTCATGAAAATGCATACATAAAGACACAAAACCGTGCCTCGAAGAGCAGGAGAACATCCCATTTGAATGAAAGGTGAACCGCAACGCCAAGAACGACGGACCTGCGTAGTCACTGCGCGGAGCTCGAAACATAGATCAATAACAAGCTCTGCCACTTATCTCGGTGACAGACAAATAGATATGAGAGTAAGCTAAACGAACTAGTCCGCTCGGTCTTCTTTGAAGTCCTTGGAATACGCTTTCTGCACATGCCGGGAGCCTCTGCCATCCATTTCGAGCATGAACAAGATATCGCGGACTTGAATTCCGGCACCCTTCGCTTTGTCTTCACGCCAAGACCCAAGGTGTTTAGTAGGGACAGGAGCTGGCTCTCCAGTGCGGCCAGTCTTCTCCGCGCCAGTGGTGAGAGGTGCGGTGTTGACTCGTGACGGAGTGGCGAAGCCACTGGGAGTAGCCGGGCCTCGATTCAGCCATGAGTATGATTTTTTGGCTCCGAACATACGGCCAGACAGCATGCTATTCGTGGCCAATCGGGCAGTCTCCACAGATTGCTGATGTTGCTGAGCCTCGCTGGCCTTTGCATCCATCAGTTTCTTTGCTTCCTTCTTCGACAAACCTTTCTTGTCGAGGCTCGGGGCTTTTTCTGCGATTGGAGTCGATGCACCGGAACCTGGTACGTCGACAGAGTCTGCTCTGGGCAAAACACCTTCCCCGAGGATAGCGTTTGCACTGCGCTTCGCGCGTTTGGCGGCACGAGCCTCTTCACTGGACACGTCCTTCTCCATGAGTAAACGATATTTCTCGGTCAAGGTCGCCGCTGCATGAGTCGCTGAATGAGGCCCTTCGTGCTTGTTAGCATCCGAAAACTCCTGATCTGAATGTGATACTTACGTTTGAGTGGTGTCTGAGGGTTGTCCACACCACCGTTCACTGGGCCAGATGATTCTGCGAGGTCCTTCCATTCGATAGGAACCTTTCCATGAGAATGGGCTCGCCTGCTTCTCGCAAGTGTCGAGGAATAGTCGACCACTGTGCGCAACCGTTCCTCGCAAGCAATCGACATTAAATTCAATATATCAACCAAAGGGGCCCCTTCCTGGTTTAGGATAGTTTTCCCCGTACGCACGATGGACGAGCCATCCGGTCCAGTAACCTCAATAGGCTGAGGACGACCTGGTACAGGGTGAAATAAGCCCTCTGCCGGTATGCGAACACCAAGTTCAAAGCCGCGTCTCTGGAGTCTTTGTTCCAGTACCTTCGTCAGTAAGAAAGGCTCTTGTAGATGGTATTGTGCGCGTCTGGCTGCTTCGGTGTCTTCCCGTGTCGGCTCATTAGGGTCTTTGAACGGCGCAGGTGGTTGCGACGCCGGTTCGGTGTAGAAAGAGTCTTGTGTGGTTTGCGGCTTGAACTGGGACGGTTCGCTGAAACTGGGGGTGGTGGAAATTGTCCCGGTAGTAGAGGCTTGGGAGGCGAAAGAAGTATTGAGGGCTAGTTGAGGTTGCTGTTGCGGTGGCGGTGGTTGTTGTACTCTTAAGGGCTGTTGCGCTTGAACACCTGGAGCCGAGTAACTACTCGTGAGAAAGGCCTCTTCTTCTCTGACATCAATTCCAGACGACGCCAGAACATCTGTTAGCTCGGCAGCATCTGTCGCCTTTTCTACCGGCCTAGAAGGTGGTCCCATTGTGCCCGGGGGTGGTGGCGGGGCGGGTGTTTGAGGCATCCCACTCATGTTGATTCCATTCATGGGAGTCGGGGTTGGTTGATTTGACGGTAGCTGCAACGTCCCAAAGCTGGGAGATGCGTATGGGGATTGGGATTGCGGAAGAGGAGAAAGGCGCTGTCGCTTAGACGGTGGAGGGATGCCGCCTCCATTGACCGGGGACGGTGCACTAGGTGAAGGTGAGGATACAGGAGGAGACATTGATTGAGCAAACTGCTGAGGCTGAGTTTGCGCCATGATGGTCAAGATGCTTGGGTTTCGAGCCAGCAGATAGAAATGCGGTAGGTATCGAGAATGTGTCGCGACTATGAAGATGTCCGCGCGTGAGTTGAAAATGTGAGCGGACTGCTCGAACCGCCGCCGCCGCCAGCCGTAACCATCTCAGGACGCTTAGGTCGACATAAAATCGCGGGAAGCCGCCGCCGGGAGAGCCGAAGCAGGTTATGGATCGAGGTTGTGGTGGTTGACTGACTTGAATGTGTTGCTCGCGGATGGGAAGGGAGCTTTTACTCGACGAGGTTTGCTTGCTCAGGATCCCGCACAGGGAGCTGCAGGTCACGTGCATGCTATGTCAGCAGAAGAGAGAACCGGCGGCTTCACTCTTTCAAAGCAGTTGTGAGCGAAAAGACCATCTGAGTGAAGGGTGGTTCAGCTGTGGGTGACAGAAGTTGAGATCATTGATTGAATCATATTTGGTGCTTTGATCCATGATTACTTTATCTTCTTTCCAATCCTGAAAGTCTTGTCTTGTATGGTACTCGATGGCCGGTTTATTTCGCGCTGTTTGAGATACAAAACAAAGCAGTTTTCAAGATTGAAGATCCAGAGTGCTTGACTCACGACTCTACAACCCCTATAAGCCTACGATCTCATCTCTCAATGCTGTGAATCCCTCATCTCATACTCTAGGCCTCACTTCATGGCGACCAAGCGCAAGGCGTCGGCGTTGAACGCCGCCGTCGATGACGAACCCGTTGATCCATCTGATGAACTTGCTTTCTACTGCTTAGGCGGAGGTAATGAAGTCGGTCGGTCATGCCATATCATTCAGTACAAAGGGAAAACAGTGATGGTGTGTAGTGCAATCTCCCTCCTTGTTTGGCGACAATCAACTGATGGCCAATATAGCTCGATGCGGGCATGCATCCTGCGAAAGAAGGATTTTCGGCTCTCCCATTCTTTGACGAGTTCGACCTGAGCACGGTTGATATTCTTCTCATAAGCCAGTACGTGGATTGTTCCTTCCCATCTGATACTTTATTTTTCCGACGACAACCTTCGA